GGGGTCTGGGCTCAGCCGGGGCGCACCGCGGGGCCGGGAGGGCGCCGGGCTGTCTGGGGCTGCGCCTAGGGTCGGGGCTCTTCATCGCCTCTCGGGGCTGCAGCCCCCGCCCCAGCTGCCTGTGGGGGTCTTCCCGCGTTCGCCCCGCGCGGGTGCCTCGGCCTGGTCCCCCGCCCCTGGGGCTTGTCCGCCCGCATCCCGGGAGCCACGGTTCCCTGCCTGCCTTCGAGATGGCTGGACTTCCCACGTTTGGAGCTGAGGCTTGGATTATTTGGATTTGGCCTGGGGAACATTTTGGTAGTTTGCCATTGTTTGACTCCGGGTAGTGTTTACGTTACTTCTATGTTTGCAGATTATATACACCTCAAAAGAAGATGGGAGGTGGCGACCCGCGTATACGCAGAAACTTTAAGTGAGGTAGTGGCATTTTATGTGTCAAGCTTGGTAAACATTCAGAGGTGGGTGGGTTGTTACCTTCACTTTATATTTTTCGTAAAGTTAATTAAGGAATGGCTTCAAGGTAATCTGGAGACCTTTAGTTCTAATTCATCAGGAATAGGCACTAATTCATCGGGAATAAAACTAGGCTGTTGCGCTGTTTAGAATTGTGTGAATATCCATAACCGGTGGGCAGCTGGTGAGGGGGCCTTTCTGAAGAATCAGATGTCTGTAGTTTAGTTCTCAACTAGCAGATTACAGCCCTGGCTGCGTGATGAATGATGAGCTTCTCTGCAGCCTGTTCTGGCAGGAAAGATTGTGGCTTCTCCTAAACTGCTACTTTCCTCTGAACTGCTACTTTTCCTGCCTCACAGGTGAGCCGCTATGGGAGGTAGGAGGAGGAAAAACTGCAGGGTTGGTGATGAATATTTGATAAATTGGTTTGTCTCTGTAGCATTCTTTTTGATGAGCTTGGGTTCCGAGCATTTGCATCGCATCTGTAGATGAATGCTCCCCCAGTGCTCCAGTGTTACGGGCACCTTCCTGCTTCCTCATTTCAGCTAAGGATTCTGAAAGGAAATAGACCTGTTGTGCAACTAAGATACATTCTTCATGACTCCGAGCGGATTACTGTCTAGAAGTAAGGAGGCAGTGTGTTGACGTCTTAGTAAAGGTGTAGGAAGAATTTCTGTGGCCTAACTGAGGTGGACTGGAATCAGAGCTGCCATCCACTTATGGGTCCTGAGATCACCAAGTGCCCGTTGAGCGCACCTTCTCTGTTTGGGCTCTAGCTGCAGCTGCTGCAGGGAAGAGAGGCAGACCTAAGTACAAATATAGTTTCTGCCCGCAAAGAACTTAAAGAAACAGGCCAAAGAATGGGACAGGACTTGGTTGGTATGGAGTTACCAACTATTAGGCTTCATAAAAGAAGTGACTTTTGAGGTGGACCTTGAAGGACCAGGGGGATCATAACCCACCCATCTCTGAATATTTACCAAGCTTGACACATGATTTTTTTCATTCAGAATTAGCTGGAAAAATGAAAAAGCTAAGGCAGTTGGTGGAACAGCACTCAGATTAGATGGGGAGTTAGGTGTCTAGAAATATTGATAGAGGCTGTCGGTTAAGGGTTAAATGCTCTTCTATGACAGAAGAGCATAGGCTACCCAGTTTGGCTTTTGGCAGGTTTCTGTGTTATAAAGAATTGTTTTCGTTTGATGAGTTTGTCTTGTTCTTTTAGTCAACCAGTTACATAAATCAGTGCCTAACTTATTTTAAGGACAATGAAAAAGATGATGATTGTAATCCTGTTTGGTATTAACTAACAATCAGGAAATTAAATTTGCTGTCTGTGAGCTATTTCAGTGCCTGTGTTTAGTTTTAAGGAGCACAGCTCTGCCACTGTGGTTACAACCAAGTGATAAATGGCAAACTCTTTAGCCATTTTCTGAGTGTTGTTAATGACATTTAGTTCACTTCACAGAGATGCTGTTTGTTTCTCTTACCAACATTGTTGAAGAAACCTTTGAAGCCGTTGAAACAGGATGCCTTGTAATTGCTCTGGAACATCATGACTAGTCTCAGGACCTCACCTCAACCTTAGCCTTTTCCCTCAAGATATAACTGACATGCATTATATTAGTTTCAGGTGTACCTCATAATGATTTGGTATTTGTATATATTGTACAGTGATCACCACAATAAGTGTAGTTAACATCTGTCACCATACATAATTTTTTTTCTTATAAGTCAAACTCTCTTAGTAACTTTCAATTATGCAATATAGTATTATTAAGTATAGTCACATGACATCCCCATGACTTACTTTATAACTGGAAGTTGGTACCTTTGATTCCCTTCACCCATTTCTGCACCCCTGCCCACCCCCACCCCCCACTACCACCAATCTATTCTCTGTATCTATGAGCTTATTTTGCTTTGGGAGAGGGGGTTTATTTTTGTTTTAGATATCACATATAAGTGAGATATGATATTTGTCATTGTCTGACTTTTTTTTGACTTCTCAAAATCCCATCAAGGGCCATTTTTGTTGTTGCAAATGGCTTTTATGGCTAAATTGTACATATATACCACCAGTCACTTACTTTTGTTTTTACTTCCCTTGCCTTTGGTGCCAAATTCATAAAATCCTCTGAGACAAAGGTTCATAAGTTTTAGTACCTGTGATTCGTCTGTGAATTTTATTGTTTCAGGTCTTATATTTAGGCCTTTGACCCATTTTGAGTTAATTTTTGTGTATGGTGTCAAATTGTAGTCTAGTTTCATTCTCTTGTATGTGGCTTTGGAATTTTCCCTGCACCGTGTATTGAAGTGGCTTTCTTCATTGTATTACTTGAGGCTCCTTTTTCAAAAAGTAGTTGTCCATGTAAATGTGGGTTTATTTCTGGCCCCTCAATTCTGTTCCATTGGTCTGTGTGTCTGTCTTTCTGCCAATACCATAATGTTTTGATTATTGTAGCTTTGTAGTATAATGTGAAGTCAGAGATTGTGATGCCTCTGGCTTTGCTGTTTTTCTCAGGATTGTGTTGGCTATTTGGGGTCTTTTGTGGTCCCATGCAAATTTTATGATTTTTTGATCTATATCTTTGAGAAATGCTGTTGGGATTTAGATGGGGGTTGCATTAAATTTGTATATTGCTTTAGGTAATATGGCCATTTTCATTATGTGGATTCTTCCAATTTACGAACATAGTATCTTTCCATTTCTTTGTGTATTTTTCAGTTTCTCTCAACAGTGTTTTGTAGTTTTCAGTATATGGGTCTTTCACATCCTTTGTTCATTCCTAGATATTTTATTCTTTTTGTTGCAATTGCAAATGGAATTGTTTTTTCATTTATTTTTCCGAAATTTTATTGTTAGTCTATAGGAAAGCAATGGATTTTTGTACATTGATTTTGTATTCTGCAACTTTACTGTATTTGTTTATTGTTTCTAATAGTTTTTTTGGTGGAGTTTTTTTTTTGTTTTCTATATAAAGAATCGTGTCATCTGCAAAAAGTGAGTTTTACTTCTTCATTCCCAATTTAGATGCCTTTTAAAAAAGTTCTCTTGGTTGTTTGCTCTGGCTAGGACTTCCAGTACCGTGTTGAATAACAACGATGCAAGCGGGCACCCTTGCCCTGCTCCTGATCTTAGAGGAAAAGCTTTCAGTTTTTTTGCCATGGAGTGTGATATTAACTGAGGCTTTGTCATTTAGAGCCTTTAGTATGTTCAGGTGCTTTCCTTCTATACCCAGTTTATTGAGTGTTTTAATTATAAATGGCTGTTGCATCTTGTCAAATGCTTTTTCTGCATCTATTGATATGATCGTGTGATTTTTATCCTTTATTTTGTCAATATGGTGCAACACGTTGACCTGGGCATATGCTGCATCATGCCATCTTCGTGTCCCTGGAATGAACCCCACTTGGTCTTGATGTATTATCTCTTTAATGTATCTTGTATTCAATTTGATAGTGTTTTGTTTAGGACTTTTGTGTGTGTGTGTGTTGTCCTTGCCAGGTTTTGGCGTCAGGGTTATGTTGGCCTCCTAAAATGGATTAGGAAGTATTGCCTCTTCAATTATTTGGAAAAGTTTGGGACGGATAGGTATTAAATTTTCTTTGAATGTTTGGTAGAATTCACTATGAAGCCATATGGTCTTGGAATTTTGCTTTCTGGGAGGCTTTTGATGACTGGTTTATTTTTCTTACTGTTGATCAGTCTCTTTAGATTTTCCAGTTCATGGTTCAGTCTAGGAAGATTATATATTTCTAAGAACTTGTCCACGTCTTCTAGGTTATCGAATTTGGTGGTATATAGAGCCTTTCATAGTGTCTTGTATAGTTCTTTGTATTTCTGGGTTTTTGTTGTAACTTCTCTTTTATTTTTGATTTTGTGTCTTTTTTTTTCCTTAGTGAGTCTAGTTAGAGGTTTGTTAATTTTATTAATCTTTTTAAAGAACTTGCTCTTTGTTGCATGACTTTTTCTATTCTCTAAGTTTAATTCTACTCTAATTTTTATTTTTATTTTTTTCCTACTGATTTTGGGCTTCATTTGTTCCTTTTCTAGTTCTTTAAGGTGAAATGTTAGGTTGTTTATTTGAGAGTTTTCTTGTTTCTTGAGTTAGGCCTGTCATGCTATAAACTTCCCTTTTATTACTACTTTTGCTGTATCCCCAAAATTTTGATATGTCGTATTGCTATTCTCTCATTTGTCTCTAGGTATCTTTTGATCTCTGCTTTTATTTCTTCTTTGACCCAGTTATTGTTTAGTAGCATGTTGTTTAATCTCCACATATTTGTGGTTTTTCTAGCTTTTTGCAGTTGATTTCCAATTTCAAAGCATTGTGGTCAGAGAATATACTTATGATTTTAACCTTAAATTTGTTGAGGTTAGTTTTGTGGCCCAACAAATGGTCTGTTTTTTAGAATGTTCCGTGTGCATTTCAGAAGAATGTATATTCTGATGTTTTGGGATGAAAAGCTCTGTAAATATCAATTATGCCCATTTGGTCTGATGTATTGTTTAAGGCTAATATTTCCGTACTGATTTTTTTGTTTTGTTTGAATGATCTATCCATTGCTGTCAATGGGGTATTTAGGTCATATAATGGTATTTTTTGTCAGTTTCTTCCTTTAGTTCTGTTAGTGGTTGCTTTATGTATTTTGGTGCTCTCAGGTTGGGTGTGTATATCTTAATAAGTGTTGTGTCTTTTTAAAATATATATATATATATATATTGATTTCAGAGAGAGGAAAGGAGGGGGGGGAGAGAGAGATAGAAACATCAATGATGAGACAGTCATTGGTCAGCTGCCTCCTGCACGCCCCCGACTGGGGATCAAGCCCGCAACCTGGGCATATGCCCTGACCAGGAATCGAACCCCTATCGCCTGGATCCTAGGTTGCTGGTCAACTGCTGAGCCATGCCCACCGGGCTGGTTTGTTTTTGTTTTTTGTTTTTTTTTTAATATGCCTTTATTGATTTCAGAGAGAAGAAGGGAGAGGGAGAGAGCTAGAAACATCTGTGATGAGAGTCATTGATCGGCTTCCTCCTGCATGCCCCCTACTGGGGATGAAGCCTGCAACCTGGGGTATGTGCCCTGACTGGGAATTGAACCTGTGACCTCCTGGTTCATGGGTTGATGCTCAACTGCTGAGCCACACTGGCTGGGCTGTGTGTTATGTGTTCTTGATCTATTGTTCTCTTTATCATTGTAAAATACCCATCTTTGTCTCCTATTACTTTTTTTTTATCTTGAAATCTATTTTATCAGATATAAGTTGGCTACACTTGCTTTACTCTGAATGCCATTTGCTTAGAGTGTCATTTTCCTCCCATTTACTTTGAATCTATGTTTGTCCTTGCAGCTGAGATGTGTATTTTGAAGGCAGCATATAGTTGGGTTTTGTTTTTTAACCTTTAAAAGACGGCATTTAAAAGACAGCATCATACAAACTCCATATATTTTCCAGGATCAACTGTACAAATAATGGTTTCTTTCCTTTTGCCTGTAAAAAAGAACGTATATGCTTAGGTTTCTGAGTATTTAACCTTTAAAAGACGGCATTTAAATTCCTTCAGCATTTAAATTCGGCCAGCCGGACCCACTCCTTGCCGGGAACTAAAGTTCCCTTTCTTCGGATAAAGGTATTCCATCCTGCTGCTTTGTGCTTTTTAATGGGTGAGTTTAGTCCATTTATGCTTAGGGAGATTATTGATATATGAAGATTTCCTATAGCCATTTTATCTTTTGTTTTCTGGCAGCTCTGTGTGTGTCTACATTGTTTGTTTTCCCTTGTGTTTCTGTTTGTTATTTTAGTTACGTCATTTCAGTTTGGTGGTATTCTGTGACTTTTTTCTCCATTTCTTTTCTTTTTATGTTTTGTCTCAGTTCTAGGTGTTTTTTTTTTCTTTTTTAAGATTTTTTGTTGATTTTTAGAGAGAGAAGAAGGGAGAGGGAGAGAGGTGCACAGGATGACGTCTAACCAATTGAGCCACACCAGGTAGGGCTAGATTTTTGTTTGTGGTTACCATTAGGTTTATACAAAAGAAAGTTGTATGTACATAGTAATATTTTTTCTTCTGATTGTATCTTATCTCCATTCTCCTGTGCAGTTTAGTCCTTTTTCTCCTCCCCTTTTATGTTTTTGTTGTCGCAAATTATCTTTTTATGTTGCAAGTTCATTTCTAAATTGCAGTAGCTGTTGTCTTCTTTTTTCCTTAAAGTTTTTACCTCCTTTAAACTTTGTTATATTTAAGTGTTTAATACCGTGTTCTTAACAAGGGTACAGTTTCCTGCTTCTGTCTGTTAGTCATGCTACACATAGTTTGGTATCCTTTTGTCTTTTTGTTTTGGGCAGAAGAACACCTTTTAGCATTTGTTGTAATGCAGGTCTTATAGTAAATTCCCTTAGCGTTTATGTCTGGAAAAGCCTTTATTTCACCCTCATATCTAAAGCGCTACTTTGTAGGATATGTTATTATTGGCTGGTGATTTCTCTCAATAATATGAACATTTGATTCCACTCTCTATTAGCTTGTAGGGTTTCTGCTGAAAAATCATAATAATCTAATGGAGTTTCCTTTATAGGTTACCATCTTCTTTTCCCTGGGTGCCTTGAGAATTCTTTCTTTGTTGTTTTTTTTTTTTTTATAGTTTTAATATAATGTGCCTTGGAGGATTGATATAATTTGGTGTTCTGTTAGCTTCTTGGATTCAAAGATCCAGTTTGTTCTATAAGTTTGGAAAGTTCTTGTCAATTATTTATTTGAATAGGCTCTCTGTTCCCTCCTCCTGCTCTTTTCTGTGAAGTATGCCCATTATTCTTATACTGCTCTAACAGTCAGATAGTTCTCATTGATTGATTGATTGATTGATTGATCTTTGGTTCTTTTTCTTCCACCTGAGTCATTTCTAGGTTTCCATCTTCTGTGTTATGAATTCTTTCCTCTATCTGGTCTGCTCTATATCCTAAGCTTGCTTGTTCATTCATCATCTCATTTATTGATGTCTTTAGCTGAGGAATTTCTTTTTGGTTCTGTTTTATAGATTCAGTCTCTCTGGTGAAGTATTCCTTTTGTTCCTTGATATTATCTCTGAGTTTTCTTGTATCTAGTTGAGTTTTTTTCAGAACTGCAATCTTCAGTTCGTTGTCATTTAAATAATAGTCTTCCATGTCTTTAAATTTATTTTCTGGAGATTTTTTATTTCTCAGTTATTTTGTTACCTTCGCTATTCATTGTGCTTGATGAATTATTTCTTTGCCTGGACATTTGTGGGAATGAAATCTGCTTTTTAAAATGTATTTGATGGTGACGTCAGGTGAATGGTAGCATGAGAAATCCCTTTGGTCTCTCCTTTTGAAGTTTCAACAATTTGAACAGCTATAACTTAACAAAGGATTCCCTGCTCAGTGCACAAACACACCTGAGAGATCTGTGCATTGAAACATCTAAAAGTGGGTAAGTGGGAGTGAACCAGGGAGGTGAGAAGGGAGAAACACTGTGACAAGCCACAGCCCACAGACGCAGCTGGAGTTCTTTGGGGGGTGAGGGTGGCAACCAAGCTGTGGCTGGCACTCCCTTCAGCTGGGAGGAGCAAAGAGATTCATTAGGCATACCCACAGGAGTGTCAGTGACCTGAGTAGGGAAACAGCACAAACGTGCGGCTGAGGTTTTCTGGTGCTGGACATTTCAGGCAGAGAAACAAGCCATGAAGCCTGGCTGCCCCTTAACCTCCCAGAGCTCATCTCCCTTAGCTCGTGGTGTCAGGTTGCAGAGCACATTATCTGCAAACCCGAGAATTGGTACTATACAAACATACACACAGAACAATGAATTGAATTGAGGGCCCAGAAATAAAACCACATGTATATGGGGAAATAATTTGTGACAAAGGAGCCAAAGACACACAATGGAGAAAAGAAAGCCTCTTCAATAAATGGTGCTGGGAAAATTGGAAAGCCACAGGCAAAAGAATGAAACTAGATTACAGTTTGTCCCCATGTACAAAAATTAATTCAAAATGGATCAAGGACCTAAATATAAGATCTGAAACAATAAATTACATAGAAGAAAACATAGGTCCTCAACTTATGGACCGTGGTATTAGAGAACATTCTATGAATTTGACTCCAGGCAAGGGAAGTAAAGGCAAAAATAAATGAAGGGGACTAATCAAACTCAGAAGCCTCTGCAGAGCCCTAGCTGGTTTGGTTCAGTGGTTAGAGCGCTGGCCTGCGGGTTCCATTCCAGCCAACGGCACATACCTTGGTTGCAGCCTCAATCCTGTTCGGGGTGCATGTGGGAGGCAACCCATCAGTGTGTCTGTCTGTCTGTCTCCCTCCCTCTCCCTCCCTC